ATAATAATTTTAATATCTCTCTTGTACTTCTTATTAATTTTTTGCAATGTTGATTGTAGAGTTTCATAAAATTCATCCTTTGTTTCATCATTCTGAGTATTCGTTGGTGCATACACGTTTAATATACATATGTTCCTGAATTTAGCTTTGAATCGCCCCCATATTATTCTTTCGGATATCCCTTCCCATTCTAACAAAGTTTTGGATGTTTCTTTATTCAACATTAATGCTACCTTCGCTTTTTGTCCCTTGTTTATTGTTTCCTCTGTATTTTATTTCATTACCACCTTTTAGGCGCAGTCGCCCTTCTCCTTTCCACCTTGTTTCGCTGAGACCCAGGATACTAATTCTGTTTTTCATCATTTCCGTTTCTATTTGGTGAGCTTTGCTTATGTCCAACATCGTCCTAACATTCCAGAATCCTATGTCAATATCTTTCCTAGTTTCTAATATTCCCCCTAGTCCAGTCATCTAGGGATTTCACCTCGGAATCTAACGGAATAAGCTGAATTTTTGTACAAACCTTTATTTTAGCATTGCAAATGTTGTCTCAAAAGTCACATATGCCAACGTGTGAGCGGCCTTAGATATTCAAGGTCAAAGGTCGCAAAAATCAATTTTTTGAGAATATCTCCTTTTCTCTGCCTCCTATCGTATTTGTATTTATTATACAAGTTGTAGAGAATAAAATTCTCTACAAATTTTGTTTAAAACATTTTTTTATACGTCTAATCGTTTTTGAGATAGAGGGCGCAGAGTGTGGAGCGCTCAGCCATACGTACCTTTAGCGCAAGGTAAATCATGAATCCCAATCTATTATACCGTTTTTTTAATTAATTATTTATTAAATATTACTTAAATAACAATTTAATACCTTATATTTATTTTTATATATTTTTTTAAAACAAATAGTCATTAAATATAACTTACTTTTTACATACAAATAATTAAATAATTAAGTGAATCATTCCAAATATATTCTAATGTTATTCTAATTAATGGTAAATGCATTTTAAGAAGAAAATACATTAAATGAATTTGCCTTGAATATGTCTCTGGTCATCTCTTGGATCCAGATATTGCTTTTAAAATAACAGACCTGGAAATACTATAGTGGGCTTGCTATAAATAAAAAGGTTAGGTATACCTATACATACCTAAAGCAAGTTGTGATACAAGTTGGTATAGGTCTAGGGTTGTGACAGGTAATATTCGTAATATTTTAAAGGTTAACATGGCTGATTTGTGTTTTATTTGTAATAAGTTACTTTCTGAAGGTGATTCTGTGACTTTTGTGCGCGGTATAAAGACTTTAAAAGAAGCAATTATTGAGAGAAATAAACATAAACTATCTAAATACTTTGACTTCTGTGAACGTTCATATTGAGTGTCGAAAATTGTACGCTAAAGCGTACTATAGTAAAATTGCAGCAGCAAAACGTCGCCTTGAAGACTGGACCTTCAACGTCATCAACTGTACCTCGTAAAAAAGGGAATGATTTGTTTGATTTTAAAATATTGTGCTTATTTTGTGGTGAAGTCGCAGATGAGGCAACAAAGGCAAAAAAAGTACAAACGCGTTATAAGTAAGTTTTTGAAGATATGACAATTCATGTCAATGATAACGGGGAGAGTGTTGATGAGAATGAGTCTGAAATTGCTGGCCAACCTGAAGAAGACGAGGATGAAGAAGATAAAGATTATTATTAATAATAATATTAATAATATTGACATAAATAAAAACATTTTTTCCTACTCCGATCCAATTATCCTTCATTAAAATTAAATTAAAATATAAGATATATATGAAGATAAAATATATTTGATTTAAAAGAAATATAAGTATAAGGTATTAAATTTTTTTTAGTAATATTTATTATATAATTAATAAAAAAAACGGTATAATAGGAGGTTCACGATTTACCTTGCGCTAAAGGTACGTATGGCTGAGCGCTCCACACTCTGCGCCCTCTATCTCAAAAACGGTTCGAGGTATAAAAAAATTTTGTAAACAAAATTTGTGGAGAATTTTATTTTCTACAACTTTTATAATAAATGCAAATACGATAGGAGGTAGAGAAAACGAGATATTCTCAAAAAACTGATTTTTGCGACCTTTGACCTTGAATATCTAAGGCCGCTCACACGTTGGCATATGTGACTTTTGAGACAACATTTGTAATGCTAAAATAAAGGTTGTCACAAAAATTCAGCTTATTCCGTTAGATTCCGAGGTTGATCCCCTTTTTTGACTAAGATGACTGTACTACCCTATATATTTAAAATTTATTTGTTTTATTATGCATTTTCTTGTTCATTTTATGTAGGTACGCGTTTGGAAAAAAAATAAAAGTTTTAAGTGGCTTCATTTCAAAGAGATGAAGAGCCCTTTGGGACAATATTATCCCACCAAAATTTTGAGTTTAGAGCCCTTTGGGACAATATTGTCCCACCAAAAATTTTGAGTTTGGGGCAGGTAAAAAAAAATTGAATGTACTATGATCAAACTGAACTTGTTTGTAAACTCCTCACCAAAGCTCATTGCAATATTTTGAATGCCACCCTTTTGCCCTATAAAGGGTTAAATACTTAAAGCAACACCCAAATCGATGCCAAAACGCGTACTTTCATTAAAATATAAAGTTTATATTGTGCAGCTCCATAAGAAATAGTTGCTAACATAATCTTGCTTTTATAAATTTTCCCATATACTTCCTTCAATTTCCTTCAAGTCAGGAGTTTTCGTAGGTTGGTTGGAATACTCTATACATTTATTGTCTTTATTTCGCGTGGTTAATAATGCGCCGATTGTATTTGCAATTGAAGGGGTCAATACAAGAAGTGCATAAGTCACAAATAGGTGATTCTGAGATATTGAGGTTTGAAGGCTTATTTTTGATTTTGAAATATTGCATAAAATATTATGGTCAAAATGTGTGTTGTATTGTATTCCTGGTAGAAAGTGGATTTGACATGATTAAAAAAGAAAAAAACGTTTTTGTTTTATCCAAAAAATATATATAATAATTTTGTCAAAAATTAAAGACATACATACATACATATAAATGTGACTTGCATTGACCCCTTCAATCCTATTCTTTCCCTGTGTATATTTTCATTCCCTCCCTGATATCAGGTAAGACATGTTTCATTCCCTACCTACCGCTACCATGACGACGCGTCGCGACGCTACAGTGTGATTGACATTGAATGTAAATGTCTTTACCTCGCGTGGAATCGCAATTACACCCTCAATGAATTCCTTCACTCGCCTGTCGGCTTGCTCGGAAACTCTTCGGAAGTAATTGCTATGATTTCATGCTCAGCAAACAATATACAAATTCCGTACCTGGCAATGTATGCATCGCTGTATCCAGACTCGTTGCACGCTTCGTTTTTCTCCTCGTAGTGGTCGATTTGCTTCAACAGCTTCTCACTAATTTGTTCGGCGAATTCGGTTAAATGCTTGTGGCACTCTTCGTTCCAGTTTTCCGGCCAGGCGAAGCTTTCCGATAGCACTTCGTTGTCCACATACTTTCTTTGTAAAATCGACATAACCTAAAAAAGCATTTTTATTTGTAGTTTTAGCTGACTCACTTAACAGCATATATTGTACTCATAGTTAGTGATGTAGATAGGGTAAATACCCAGTGGGTAGGTAAATAAAATTTGGGTAAATACCCAAATTGGGTATATTTGATTTATACTTTAAATAATATTAAACTTCCCTATTAAACAATATAAACATAAACGTACTAGAATTGTCTCTGAACGCACTTAATCGTGGAAAACCGCTTAATTGTTGAAATGCACACATAGACCAGGGTCGATAATTTTTGAAACCAAAAAAAATAACAGTAGGATGAAACCCATTGGAAAAGGAGAATATAATAAAAATGAAAGGAAAAATAAATTACGGGCGATCTGACTTCGGGAAGTGGGAGGGAGGGACCTATTTTCATGTACCCATTTATTTTACTAAATATAAAAGCCTTTTGAAATCCAGCAGATTTTAATTTCTCTTCTTTCACCTTGCATACATTTTTGTGAATAATTTGATACATATTTAAAAAAAAAACATTGGCATTAGATAAAACTAAGTTTTAAATAATATTATCTAAGATCTAAGGTAGGTACTACTACAGTATACTTCACTATATTGAATAAAACTATTTATTGATTTCAAGCTATTTTTATGCAAGATTTAAATCGAAATACCCCTATAAATACCCTATTTGGGTAAATACCCGGGTAAATACCCTATTTGGGTAAATACCCGGGTAAATACCTGGGTATTTTACATCACTACTCATAGTGGATATACAGGGTGAGACCCTGTATTGCAATCATTTTTTGTTTTAACTTAAAAGTTAAATTTACAATCTAAAAAATCTATCAACGGTTGAGCTTTCTTCAAAGCAAAATTAGCATTAAAATCTCCAATTAAGATTATAGGCAGTTGAGAAATCTTTGTTAATAAATAATATCACAATAAATTAATTTCTTGAGACGGTTAATTTGCAAAATGCATTCTTATAAATCATTTTACAAAAAACATGCTACTGCCACTTACTTCGTTCGTGTCCACTTTCCGCTTGGCCTTAGGACTATATTTAATTACTTTTTGTACGGTTTGGTCCAAAGAATTTGCTACATCAGCTGCTGCTTCTAATAAAGTCTTTTTCATGGGATATACAGGGCCATAAACTGCGTCTGGAAGGCCTAAAAATATAACATTTGCATTATTCATATCCATGGGTACCTACTAAAGCACAACCAAAGAGGAAACAAGAAAAAAAATTAAAATATTTTATTGTATAAATCTTCCATAATAAATTGTTTTGTAGACAAGCTTAATACATTTAAAAATGTAGAAGGCCCTAGTTTTATTTTACAACAGGTAATGCATACACTGCAATAATTGTTCAAAACTTTTTTCAAAAGAAAAATTTTCTTTTTTTGATTTTTTATTTCCCTTTTTACTTTCATTGTATATCAAATCCTTATCCAAGCTTTTTCCGTCATCTTTATTTCCTGTCCTTCCAACCTGTATTACTTTTTTCCGTTTTTTACATCATTATCATTACTTCCATTTTCCTCTTCGACCTTTTTGGCCCTTATTAGTTTTTCTTCTTTTTTGTCCCACCTCCATGTCTCTCCATTAATAATGATTTTTTGATATTGAACTTTGCACATTTTTCCTCTTTCTTTCTCTTCTCTTGCTGTGTCCCTTAGATATTTTTGAATTTCCCTTTCCTTTACTGTTAATTCAGAATATATAAAATGTTTGTGCCTTTTAGTTTTTGTTTCTCTTTAAGAATGTTTGATTTTTCTTCCCAGCTTTCAGTTTCTGCGATTATTGTCTTTTCGTTTACTTTGTAGGCTGCTCTAAGTTCTATTTTTATACCTAGTTTTTTATTAATAAATTCTTCAACAGTTGTCTTCACCGGTTTTTCCTGCGATTCTATGTTCAGTCCCGAAATAACCAGTTTGTTTCTTGTTTTATCTTTTTCCAATCGCTCTAGTCTAGCTTCAGTTTCCTTTATTTTGTTTATTAAATCTTGTTTTTCACTATTCCATTGTTCTTTCATTGTATTAATTTCATCTCTATTTTTTTTCATTTCTTCATTATTTATTTTTAATTCCACGCTCATGGTTTTTATCTCCTTTTGTACTTGCAAGAGTATTTCCTTTATTTCTTCCATTTCCTTTCCTTTAGCTTTTACTGCAGAACTTTGTATTGGATTTTTTGTATTTAAGTTGCTCTTTTTTACAATTTTTTCTTCCTCTTCTAATGAACTATCATGTTCAGGAATTCCTCTTTTCATGTGTACTCTCAAATAATAATAATAATAATAATAATTATTTATTAATCCAACGGACAAAGCGTCCATACAAAGGATGTAACTAATTAAAGCTAAATAAATACAGCCTAAAAAGGTACATTTTAAGGTAAGGCTCTTATTATTCTAATAAATTGATCTAAAGTTAGGTTAAAAATATCACAATTCTCTTCAATTAGATTGTAACTCCGACACATTGAAATTAGAGGGGAATTCCTTCTTTCATTATTATTCGCAGCTTCCACATGAAAAGTTTGGCAATATCTAGAGTTTAGTCTTGGGACATGAAATTTTATTTTTAAGAGAATATCGGGGTCAAAAATAGTACCATGGACAATTTTAAATTAAGCGTGCATTTCTTCTACGTATTTCCAAACTTTCCATGCCAAAGGATATTAAAGCACTAACATAGTCAAAGTTAAAAACGGGGTAGTATCCATAATTTAGGTAACACAAATATCTACAAAATTTCCTTTGAATTTTTTCAATGTTATCAATATAGATATCATAGAATGGTGACCAAATGACACAGGCATATTCAAATTTAGTACGAATATAGGCATTATAGAGGACTTTCAAAGTATCTAGGTTTTTAAATTCTTTTGTGTCACGTATTATAAAACCCAACATTTTGTTAGCTGCCGAGATTGTCAAATTTATATGAGGGACAAATGATAGAGATTTATCAAAAGTGATGCCTAAATCTTTAATTGTTTCAACATTTCTTAAAGATTCATTATTTATTTTATAATTAAAAACAATATTATTAACTTTTCTGGAAAACCTCATAACGTAACATTTTTCAATGTTTAAATATAATTGATTTTTTTCACACCAGCTATACAAAATATTAAGATTATTTTGTAGGTATACACAGTCATCGTACGTGGTAATAGCTCTAAATATTTTAAAATCATCAGCATATAGTAAATTTTTTGAGCCTATGTCATTTGTTATATCGTTAACAAACATTAAGAACAATATTGGTCCAAGATTACTCCCTTGGGTAACGCCACTAGTTGCACAATATACTTCCGATTTACAGTTTTTGTATTCAACATATTTGAAGTCTTTGGTGCAGGTATGATTTAAATAAATTAATAATGTTTCCACTAAAACCGAAGTAACGTAGTTTACGTAAAAGAATATTATGCTAAATTTTATCAAAAGCTTTAGTAAAATCGGTATATATTACATCAACTTGCAGTTTTTGATTTAAAGAATATGATGTAAATTCAGTAAAATTACATAGGTTTGTGACCGTGGAGCGACCTTTAACAAAACCATGCTGAGCTGGGGAAATAAGGGGAGAAATATGAAAATTAATATATTTTGTTAGTATAGTTTCAAATATCTTGGCAAAGTTACATATGATTGCTATTGGACGGTAATTTCTTATACAACATTTGTCACCTGATTTAAAAATCGGTGTTACTCTGGAAATTTTCCATTGTTCAGGAAATGTATTATTTGCCAGGATTAAATTAAAAATATACTTTAATGGTAGAGATAAAAAATCAATACAATTCTTAACAAAAAAGGCTGGAACACAATCAGGTCCTGAGGTAAAATTTGAAGATATATTTTTTACCGCACTTAATATATCTAACTCACTAATCTGACGCAGATCAAAATTTTGTACGTAGTTCATGGGTAAATCATAATTATCATTGGCAACCGGCCGTACAAACACTTCACTAAAATATTCTGCAAAAGCGTTGACAATTTGATTTGGCGTTGTACATGATCTTCCGTCCATCGTCATTTCACCAGGAATTCTGCTAGAGTTCTTTTTATTATTAACGAAGCTCCATAACTGTTTTGGGTTAGACCTAATATTATTTTCGGTTTGAACAACAAATATTTGGTAGGCTTCTCTTATGCTACTTTTTAATAATCTTCCAAGTTCAACAAATTTGTCTCTATAATATAAGCGTTTTGTCTTTTTAAATAATTTATAATAGTGTATTTTAAGTTTTATATTTTTAATAATTTTGCCATTAAACCACGGTGGGTAATTTCGGCTGTCTCTTTTTTTTAGGAACAAGCCGGTCAAACACTTGATAAATTTTTTCATAGAACATTTTGCATGCTCTATCCACATCTTTAGACAAATATACTTGAACGAACACGTTCAATTCGGCGTTATTTTTACCTTTACTTATTTTTATTATATAATGATACGTTTTTATTTTTATGTATAGTGCAATAAAACACTGTCAATTTAATGTGTTTTATAAAACAATATTTACGATATTTAGATACTATAAACAAAATGTTACCAAGAGGAAATGCGACGTATACAAGTTTCTTGGTGCTTTCAAAGACCACACAAGAAACGGAGAACTGCGTCATATTTTTTCTTATATTTAAAAAGGGCTGACTACTCAGTTTTCTCTGTAAGAGTGGCAGTCTGCTCTTGTTATTTTTAATTTTTTATTCATTAGCATTTAACCGAGTATCATCTCTGTATTAAAATAAATACATCTAATTTTATTAAGTTGTGTTTATTGAACAACGTTCCTGTTGCACCAAAATTCAGTCAACAAAATTCGCATACGGAAAATGTTTTCATGGATTAGTTTTCAAGGAAACGTACTTAAGCTCAGTACAATACTTCTGACCAGTCCAAGTTATTTATAGCATCATATAGCAATGTTAAATTTGCATTTTTAAAATCATATTTTTGTATTTCATGCTCTATGAATTTTTTTGTTTCTTGTGACTCAATTTTTATATTAAAGTCGATAGATGGATGATGGGGATCTTCATCTACTAGCGGTTCGAGTGATCGTTCCGAATTGCATGTTAACTTTGCAGAAGATATAATTAGGTCTAAGATTCTGTTATTTGTATTTGGAATGAAATTTTGTTGTTTTAAGTGACAGAAGTCTAGGAAAAATTTAGTAACTGATTAGTGGATACTGTGGAGTTTTTATTTTGGTAATAATCATTTAGTTCAGGTATGTTAAAGTCTCCGGACAGTAGGTTGTGTGCATTAAAATCCAAAATACTTTCCAAGCAGTCATATATTATTGAATGTTCATAGACAGTGGTAGTGGGTGGTATGTAAATTGTATATAAGTTAATATATACATTATTATATTTAAATTTTACACCGACAATATCAATATTTTGTAAAGGAAAATCTATAGAAATCTGCTGCGAATTGTAGTTATTGTTTACGGCAATCAACACACCTCCACCTCTTATTACTTTGCGATCACATCTACGAGCCCTAACCACATAATGTTCGGACACTTCATAATTTATACAGAAATTTTTTTCGTGAATACTATCTCAAAATTATTAGAAGTTATGAAAAATTCAGCTTATTTTGGCATATACCCCTCGAAGCGATTTTTATTTTTAAAAAGTTTACCTTTTATTTTTAGCTTTTAAAAAAAGGCTAACTTTTTAACTTTTTTTTGTATGAGTAAAAAAAGTTATAAATGGACCCATTAAAAAGAGCATAAAATATTATACAAACCCTGAAAATTTGGTAAAAAATAAATAAGTTATAAAAAAGTATAAGTAATTTAAAAATGCTATTTTTAAAGAGTTTTTGCAATTTTCTTAGGAAACGGGAGATTTTGCAGATATATATATCGCTATAACTTTCTTATTATTTATACAATTTTTACCAAATTTTCAGGGTTTGTATAATATTTTATGTTCTTTTTAATGGGCCCATTTATAACTTTTTTTACTCATGCAAAAAAAAGTTAAAAAGTTAGCCTTTTTTTAAAAGCTAAAAATAAAAGGTAAACTTTTTAAAAATAAAAATCACTTTGAGGGGTATATGCCATAATAAGCTGAATTTTTCATAACTTCTAATAATTTTGAGATAGTATTCACGAAAAAAATTTCTGTATAAATTATGAAGTGTCCGAACATTATGTGGTTAGGGCTCGTATATACAGAATAATTAGAATTAAATAATTCATTATCATAAACACCTGGTTTTAACCATGTTTCTGTTAGCATAACTACGTGTAATCTGTTTTGCCTATCTTAAGTATGGACTCGGTTTGAGTGCGGGGTAGATTTCGCCACTGACCTACTATGTTCAGCCAGTAACCTTTACCTCGCCTATCTTACCTTTGTCCTCCCACTTATAGATGGCGCTTTTTCTTGTTGCACTTTAATAGTCTCTGGTATTTTGGTTTTAGGTTATATTCATGAATTAATTATAATGGACTTAATTAGCATAAAACTCACTTTTTCTTTCCTTTTATTTTTGGAACGTCTTCCCTTAGTTTTTTCTTAAACTTGATTTAAAGTTTCCTCTCTCAGACAGCTTGATAATCCACGACGAAGGCACTTATTTTAATAGATTTCCGCAAAGACAGGACTTATTCTCTATTATTCACAAAAATACGCACTGCACTTAGATCATTAAACTTGTCAAATGAGTTAAGTTAATACAAAATATCACTGTAAACTTTGTTTATTAATCGCAAGCATCAAACACTCTTGATCACGGCGGCCATATCTGTTACCAAAGTTTACCGTTTACTAACGAGATCTTGTAACATTAAGTACTTAATAATTTTATATTGTAATTTTTGTGTTTAAATAAATTTGTGCTTTTTTTAAAAAGTGAATTTTAATAACAAGAAGATACAAATTGGCGCAGTCGGTAGGATGCCTTTCACACGTTTAGAACAAGGAAACTAACTGGACGTGGTGGTTCCCAAACCTTTAAAAGGAAGAACTACGTGCACCCACAAGAATTTAAGAAAATTAAAGAAAACAAGAAAAATACAGTCAAGAATCCAATAGACGGTCTCTTCGGCGTTGGGAACACGTATACACTCACCTGGAGTAGCAAGGCTCACGAAGGAGGATTTTATCTATGGACAAACTACTGTAAGAATCATTACGTTATTATTTTTATTTTTCGCGATTTTAACAAATCATTCGATTATCGTAATTTTAAGAACATTTCTTTTATCAGAAATCTTTCCCAATAACGATTTCCCTTAACCTATTTTAA